TCCCACTTCTTCCTCCTCCCCAACTGGAGAGCAGACAAGAAGGAGGAGAGAGAGGGAGAAAAATGAAAGCGGGAGAGCGAGGGCGGCGGAGCGGCGGTCTTCTTGCATGCTGAAGGGAGCGAAGCTTGTGGGAAAATTTGAGATGCTCTGATTGCCGAAGCCCTCCCTTCTTCTCTTTCCGCCTCTGTTTTTCATGTATGCTTTTAATGAACCTGGTCACTCGCTCTTTCATGCAGGAATTCTTCCACAACACTGCTTGTCACGTGGCGAGCGTACACACAGTCTTCAATCAAAGCTGGAGAGCAGGTGTCGGTAGCATAAAACACGGTGCGCGCATCTCTTTGTCTCACAACCCAACTGTTCCTCTCTCTCTCTCTCCTCTTTCTGTYTCACACGCACTTCAATGCAATCTGACGTGCACCTGTTCCACTGTTACAACTTTACCCACTTGTTTGTTTTTGCATGCACTCTCCCACCTGTGTGCATGCACCGTTGTCCTTAATGAAAACAGAAGCAGGGATGTTAGGTCAAAAAGCTCCACAGCATGAAAAGGAAAAGGGCAGTGGGAGGACGAGGGAAGGGAAGGATGCAGGGAAAGAGGCAAAGGRGAGAGGGGCTCTTTGTAGAGCACTCATTAGTCGGTGAGAGTGTGAGCATGAGGAGCTTCTTTCCTCTAATCCAGAGAGCTACATGTCTCAGCCTCTGTGTTCTTTTCATTATTTCAAAACAAGAGATCATGCCCCCCCCCAACACACACACACACTCACACACACACACACACCAAGTCTCTCAGGTGTGTTGTCCATTTATTTCCCCCCGTCCCCTCTGGCGGTGCGCTGCCTCCTTCGTTCACCCGTCCCTCCTGCCTCCATGTTTCTTCTGCAGTCTCTCACAAAGATTTCACCCAGTCAGGAGTCATTTCAAGAACAATGCTGGGTTGTTTTGTTCTTGCTACTGGTCATTTCATGAAGCAAGATTTTATTAGAGTAGCTGAGGTGATCAGTATTGGCTTAAAACCCATGTTCTGTGTTTGTAACTGTATAGATCTGTGGTAATTGATGTTTTTCTCATCTGTTTTCTGATTGGCTGACGTCTGATTAAGCTCACCTGCAGTGAGTTCTCTGGAGGAGCACTGAAGATCTGATCCTCGCTGGAGCAACTCATWTCTTATGGTAWATCTCCTGGCCATCTAARTGTTTTGTATACTTACCTGAAATATTTACCCGTGTCTCCTTTTGCCCCTTTTCCACTAGTGCCACTTAGTGTAGTGTCTGTACGGTTCGGTGTGGTTCCAAGCCACTTCCATTATTAGGCCAGATTCATGGAACCGGCCCTATTTTTTAGTACYGACTTCGTTGTGGTTCCAAGTGGTCCCAGTCGACACCAAAATGCGATGTCAGAACACTGTTCGTCACTGATTGGCTAGGGGGTGGAGTCACTGGTTGCGTCCAAGCTGCCTTTACAACAACAACAACTCAAGGAGCCATTTTTCAATTGTAACAGCGACATTGGTTGTGTTTCCATCCAATTTTAATTAGAATTTTTAGCAAATTTTAAATATTTCAGAACTTATTTGGAAAATGTGTTTTCATCTCTCATTTTGCACATTAACTCTTTTTCGAAAAACTCAAAAATCACCTCCACCAACCGCCCAAAACACACCTACTGGAACAGGACTGGAACGTCAATGGAAAAGCACCCGAAATGACCCGTTCCAACACTGATCGTACTGACACTAAGTTGTGTCCAGAAAAGACCTGAGAGTTGACCTGAAGATTTTGTGCTGCCCAAAGATAAGTCCTCCTGAGAAAGATACTCACCCACCTGCCTGCCTGCCTGTCACCTGCTGYTGGTGGAGCTTACCTGCTCGATCCTCTTATCTGTCAACCATCCTACTGGAGAAACCAAGTAGCCAACTCACTAGAATCATACCCTCTCCTCAAGAACATCACCACCTTTGGATCCTGTGAGGAAACAAACTTACCTAATCAATTACCAGCAACTATTGTTTACCTGCAAAGATACTCACCAGATCTCCTTCCTTTTCAGCCTGGAATCCTGGTCCAACATCGCTGTAAATAAAATTCACTTTCCTTTTGTACTTACCTGTCTCTGAGWCTGTCTCCTGCCTCACGCTCTCTTYTGACTGTACCAGAATCCAGATAAGATTGCCCATAGATGATCTCATTTAACTCATTTTGCAGTTTTTAAAAAATGCACGAGTCTTGTACTCCTGAGGCTGTAGGTTTGAGCTCAGGTTGGTGCCTTAGGCAAATGGGTGAATATACTGTATATGGCAATTTTATTTGCCACCAGGTGCAATGGCAGAATCAGTGGGTGGCCAATGATGGCTTTTGCAACATAGATTGATCTTTGGCAACCCCACCTGTCGCCTCGATCATTTGAGGTAACTTTTCTTTTAAGTAATAGAAAACTAGAACGTACAGTATAGTTTATTCAAATGATCAGGGTAGCTGATTTTCATTAATATATGGCAATGGTCAACTTGGATTTTGATGTGGCAACTGAATTTTTGAAAGCAACTGTATAACGCTTAAATGCAGCCACACAGCAAAATGTAAGTTGGAAGGATGGAGAGTATKTCCAAGTCTCCTCTTCTCTCCAGGRACAATTGGGCAGTTACAAAAATAGATGCTTCCACGTGTAAAAAAAAATACCATTCTGAATTTTATCATCTAAGTCTCATTAAAAACCTAGATAGGAGAATTATTTTACAATCAGAGTGAGTAAAGGAATTTATCCCAGTCACACTTGTTTACATTGAGATTCTGGTCATTTCCAGACTACATGTCTATCTGTGTGTGTGTGTGTGTGTGTGTGTGTGTGTGTGTGTGTGTGTGTGTGTGTGTGTATACACACAGTAAAGACATTGTTGCATGGATAATTGTGAAAACATTCCTTTTCCCACATTTTTTCCAAGTATTTTTTAAGAGTCTGAGAAAA